ATTTTACAGTTAAAATATATGTTTATCATTTAAAGTCTAATGTTACAACTAATCAGGGATCCCTTTAATTTAAATGTTCCAAAATGTCTAATAGAAATTAAACCACTGACAGTGAAGTCTTCAAAGTCACATTTCTATCTTCCTGTTCACATCTATGTGACATGTGCTGCCACTAGAGGAGGCTGTGTTTACATTCTGTGTGATCACTGCTCCAAACACAAACCAAAGAAAACATTTCCACGGCTTCCTCTACAGATTACCCTCTGCCCTGTGAATGAGCCGCCTGACAGTTTCAATTCCTCCGCTGGAATATGTTAAAGAGCAAAAGTTTTATTATTAACATTCTGTGCATAAAATTATCTACTACAGACAAATAATTGTTTTCACCTGCTTTAAGAATGAAACTAATTCAGCTTCTCAGATGGTCAGTTTGCTGTATTATGAGGCAATTTGTGGTAAGAGAGTTCTAACACACATTGCTGCTCTAAGATACAGTTAGCATTTACCAGATATATCTGTCATCGTTTGTCGAACAGAAAAAAATGCCTTTGTTTTCAGTTTTACTGATAATTACTTAATTCAGCTGAATTTAAACAAGCATATTAACACCTCTTATGATGATCTCTTCCACTAACTGGCATCTTCCACATGTCCTTCATCTGAATTTGAAAATGCCCAGAGTGCATGGATGCAAAAAAATTTCAATATTCAACATGGATTCCTTTACGTACACAACTGTTACCTAAAGATTATTTTATTTATTTTTTAACAGCACAGTTCTACATTTTCTTTATCACCTTTCCAGAGTTCTCTGATCACAGCCACACTGAGGTCACAATTTGACTTTTTTCTTTTTGTGTATAAATTTAAAACATCCCTTCCTTTTTTCATTCTCTCATGCAAAATAAAATTAATTAGCTTTTTATCTTCAGCTTGCCCTCTAATCCCTCTGTAGCATTAGTCATAGCCACGATCTGGATGCAGTTCCCTGTTTTTTTTCTGCGCAGGATAAAGCCGGAGGATGCAATGGACTTTGGTGTGTCGCTGCTTTTTTATGGATTGTACTACGGTGTCCTTGGACGGGATTTTGCTGAGATGTGTGCAGACTTTATGGCCTCCACAGTTGGAGTGAGTCGACAAACTGCAGCTATTTTTGCTCATCCTATTTTAAAAATATACATTAATGTTTGTTTTTTTTCTGTTTCAGTATTACAGTGCATCTGGGATGCCCACCAAACACCTTTCAGACAACATCTGTGCTGTGTGTGGCCAGCCCATCCTCGTAGACGTCAGTGAGGAAGGGATTATTGAGAACACCTACAGATTATCCTGCAACCATGTGTATCCTTCCTGTCGCGTACACAGATATGTATTTTGTATCAGTGAGAAAGAAGTTGTGTACTACAGGATGCAGATTTCTTTAAAAACTATACAGGTTTGTATTACAACCACAATTCCAATGAAGTCAGGACTTTGTGTAAAACAAAAATTAATTAATATTTGCAGAAAACCAATAAAGTTTATTGGTTTGAACATTAAATATCTTTTCTTTCTAGTGTATTCAGTTCAAATAGGTTGAAAATGATTTGCAAATCTTTGTTTTACACAACATCCCAACTTCAACATGTTATATCTTGTTTGTGCAAAGAGGAATTAAAATATTCCTGACATTTTAGTATTGTCCATATATGCTCATGTGAAGTTATTGTGTGTGACTTCCTCATGATGCTTATCTCCTGTTTACCTTGTGAACATCACAAAGCCTTATATGACTCGTTCCCATTTAGGGCCAGTGTGTTCTGGATAACATAACACCAGGTGAGGAGTGTGTTTTCACACCTGACATTGAAATATGTTCGTTCACGTGAGACCACTATACTCTCTCCAATACATGCAGTTCAAGTTGAGCTGAGCAGCAAGCAGGACATCAGCAGGTCTGCTTGTGTTTCTGTAAAATAAGAAGTAATTTCAGTTACCTGTAATAAACATTTAGGCCTTTCCAGGTGTAAAATTTACCTGTTTCCTATTGTAAAATATTTACAAAAATCTGTTTTTCATCAGATCACACATAAACTTGTTTTTAAGGTTTGACCAAAACAGCTACAGCTCAATTAATTCTTAATACAAGTTCATCTCAATCTAAAAGCAGAAGTGTTCAACAATGTTCCTCCTAACACACTATCCTGTATGTTTTAGGTGTTTCCCTGCCTCAGCACACCTGATTGAAATAATTCAGTTACTTACTCAGAATGTCCRCAGTGGTCCGGTCAGGTGTGTTGAAGCAGGGAAACATCTGAAACCTGCAGGACAGTGGGTCACGAGGAGCCAGGTCAAAGACCTCAGGTCTGAAGTTCTGTCCCCAGCACGTCTTCCTTCAAGGAATGCCCAGCTTGTAATTATTCCTGCAGTTGCTAAAACTGATTAACCTCTGTGGCCACCTGGAACTGTGTTAACTCCAAAAGTTAATCAGTTGTAGATGTACGTCCAGTAATTGTTTTCTGAGACTTTCATTGAAATCCAAACAGTGGTTCATGACACGCTTTGGCTCTTTGCTTGTTATGGTTGCGGGCGATAAATAAATTGTATTGTGTGTCTACATATAATGAAGATATTGTAACTAGTAGTCTAAATTTTTCATTTTCACAGTATTCATTGTAAGAACTAAATTATTGGATGCACAGCTACAAATGATTAGCTTTTGGAGTTGATATCTAGTTAACCATGGTAAAAACAAAAAACAGCTGTAACTTTTTTCAATGTTTATTCATTTTAATTTAAAAAACAAACAAATTC